TCTACTATCTGGGACATCTTGATGGAGCTAAGTCACTCTTGGGGGACAGTCCCTGCTGAGTAGGGGGGCTGAAAAAGGGGGACTGTTAGGAAAGGGCAAGGGAGAGAGGGGGATGGAGTGGGAGTGAGCTCCTCGACTCACCCTGCGCTGCTCCGAGGCGGCATCCTGAGGAAGGGAATCCTGAGGTGTTTGAGGGGGGCGAGGTGGGGAATTCTCCTCCTGAGAGTTCAGGCAACCCATCTAACTTCCTGGTTTTTGTCTATTTGTCTCTTTCTTCAGGTGGTGAGGGCCATCAATTCAGAGCTTCTGAACAGGCTTGTCCATCTGGGAGACCTGGACACCATCGTGGCCAGCATTGCTGGGCTTGGCTTCCCGAACTGTGGAGGAGCTCTTGATGGGACACACATCCCAGTCTGTGCAGTGCCCCTCGAGCAGCCCAATTCATTAACAGAAAGGACTACTTCTCAGTGTGCTCCAGGCCCTGGTTGACCACCAGGGATAATTTACGGACATTTGTGTTGGGTGGTCGGGGCGGGCACATGATGCCCACATCTTCAGGAACTCCTACCTCTACCGCAGGCTACGGCCTGGAACATTTTTCCTGCAGCAGGACCTTGCATTTGGGGATATGCAGATGCCAATGTGCACTGTGGCCGATGCGGCCTACCCCCGATGCTGTGGCTTATGAAGCCCTACACCAGCCACTTGGATGCGAGCAAGGAGCAACTTAATGTGCATCTTAGCCAGGCTCGCATCCAGGTGGAATGTGTGTTCGGACATCTTAAAGGGAGGTTCTGTTGCCTGCTTACATGGCTGGAGATGGGGGAACGCAACATCCTCGAGGTGGTGGCCGTGTGTTGCATTCTCCATAACCTTGTGGAGAGAAAAGGGGAGGCCTTCCTCCTGGGGTGGGGGGCAGGTGCTGATGGTGAGGGGAGGCAATTCGAGCAGCCCTGGACAACTGCCATCCGCCAGGCTCACCGGTCTGGTGTTCGCATCTGGTAGGCCCTGAGGGAGAGATTCTCAGAAGGAGCCCACTGACTCTCCCCAGGGCCTCCCCATCTCTCTGCTGCATCATAATACTCCTGCACCACCTGACCCCAAATCTGAGCCTATCATACCCTGGAACCCCCTGTCCTGAGCCTCTCACATCCCCACATCCTCAGTCTTCTGCCACAACACTCCTGTATCGTCCACACATCACAAATCTGTGTCCTGAGCCCATCATACTCGCAGCTTCCTTGCCCTGAGCCAGTCCCATATCCAACCCAAACTCCTGAACCCTCACTTCCACAAGCCTGTGACTTGCTTGGCCCACCAATCTTCCACCTGAGCCCAACACTCCCCAGCCTGGAGCCCCCTCCCCAAGCCAGCATCCCCTTCTCCTGCATCCAAATTCCCTCCCTGAGCTTGCACTTCTCACCCCTTCCCACACCCAAATCTCTTATTCCCACCCCAGAGCCCGCATCTCCTGTCTCAACCCAGTGAGAGTGTATAATGGCTGGGGATAGCAAATGATGGAAAGGAGGGGAACAGAGGATGGGGCCTCAAAGGGATAGGGTCTTGGGGAAGGAATGTGATTTTCATGCATTGGTGGGTTCCCCTCTTTTTTTTTTTTTGACAAACCTAGGGGGTGCCTTGAAATTCTGAAAAGCGTTCCATGGCCAAATAAAATTAGGAAACACTGCTCTAATGCCATCAGTTCATTTTTATTTCCTGTAAAACAAGGATCATTAAGCAAATTGCAAACAAGTTATGTTCAGCTGTAAACAGTATGGAAACATTTTGATGACATTTCTTTAATAATATGAAGGTGATGTTAAGGTTTGCAATATCTGACCCTAACGCTGTAAATAAAGCTTGTGGGGAAATGAGCTAATGGAATAATAGTGGTAAGCTTAGGGCAGTTATTTCCGGTAAGATAAGTATGATTGAAAACTGGGTACAGTTGTCACCAATGTTCCCTTCTAGTCTTTTCCATCCTTGTGCGGAATAAATATTTTTATGTGCATTAAGATATGACATTTGAAAACACAAAACCTAGGTATAGGTGCTCTGCTAATCAGCTGGGTGGCATTTGTATTTCTCTTGACCAGCTGTCCAAGCACACAGCTTACAAGGAACACTGGGATGTAGTAATGCAGCCATAAAACTAGGAATTTCCTTACACTGCTGAAAAAAGATTTTTTGATTTCATGGTTTCAAAGAATATTTCACATTGATGATAAACTTTTAAATATTTCTATTTATTTTAAAAATGTCCATCTGTCTGTGAGTCTGTTTGTTCAAGAACTCCTCCTAAACAGTAATAGCTAGGTCTACAAAATTTGATATGCTGCTTCCTCGTATCATAACTTTGGTTTGGTTTTACCAGGATAATGGAATGTGCATGTTTTTCATAAAATGGAAAGGAAAGGGTCTTGCAGGAGGGAACTGCACTGCAGAATGACCACAGGGTTTCAGCTATAACCCCACTGGGCAAGCCGAGGTCAGGGGTAAAATAAAGGACAGCTATCTACTATAAATTTCAGAGTGAGTTTGTGAGTGTGTGTCTGCATGTCACCCAACTGGGAGACATGCACCCCCTCCTCTGGCTCTACCTGCTGCAGCTGTTGTAGAGAGGTGCTTCTCACCTGGCCCCAACATTTGCCGTGAGAGGGCTGGGGTTGTCCTCGCTTTGAGGTAGCCTGCATACTGAACCCCTCATCCCCAACCCCATCTCCACTGTTTTAAATGAAAAACAAAACTTTTTTTAAAGGACCCAAGCAATGCTAGGTAAATCTACTATTTCTATATAATACAAATTTTCAGCATGGAAAGGCATTTTTTCATTAATGCTTGAGTTCGAGAGTAGAAACATTAAGGAAGTGCACTTAAACCTGCTGTATCAAATTCAGCAGCCTACTACTTGTCAAAATCCTGCATCCTGCCCCATCATTCTGCATCGTATGATTCACAGTTTTTAATCTGACTAGTGACAAAATATTGTGCTATATTAAAGAGGAATTAATGCAGAGTTAAGGATGCCCAGGGGCACAGCATGCCCTTCAGGAACATTCCATTTCGGAAAACCCAAGCTTCTGAAAACCAAGTATTTGCCAGTGCAGTCTTAACTTTGCCCCTTTCCTCTGGTGCTGGCAGTAATCACTGGGAACGACCCTGCGTGTGGCCCAGGTGCATTTATTGTATAAGATTTGCTATTTTGAATAGTGGAGAAATTAGTTTGAGCAGACTGGAAGAGCTGTTTGTGATTTGAAGAGATTTTGGGGGGAGGGGGGGGACACATGATTTGTGTTTCTGGCTGTGAGAGAGAACTTTTTTCTCTGACCCCAAGTATGATGAAAGGAAGGAGGTGCCAGAGTACTTTGCAAGATCTAGTGTGCTTCCTTTCAGTGTTCTCTTGCCAAGGTTGTGGCAGTAGCAAGATGAAGAGGCACCTTGCTATGGGGATTGTCAGCAATTAGGTGGAAGATGAGCATAATATGAAAGCTTAATGAAAATGTAACTGACCTTGTCATGGTTTGGAATAGAGATGAGATTTTTTTTCCCTCTCAGCTGAGTGTCTCTCCATTAAGCCACACAGTTACTCTGTGCTGTGATTTTTTACATTTTCCCCTGTGCACTTTATCATGACATGGGAAGACATCAAAATCTTTGGTATATTTAGTTGCTAACAGAACTGATGAGAGAAATCTCAGGCATTGTCTGTGTCCTATGAATGTGTTGGTTCAAGGATATTAGAGAGAAGGTTGGTGAGGCAATATCCTTTATTGGACCAACTTCTGTTGGTGAGAGAGGCAAGCGTTTGAGCTATGCACAGCTTTTCTGTTGGTTTTATGACATGATGATTACAGTAACTTTGAATATGAGCAGACTGGTGTCTCTCTTTCCTGCCTCCCTTACTTTCCCCTTCAGTCAGTTTGGTCTCACTTTCCCCTACCATTAAGCCATTAGACTTCAAAAGCTAGGTGTGTGCGCGCACTCAAAAAATGTGCTGTCTTCTGCCTACTTTAAGGAAAGCTGTCCTTTAAGGGGACTGCCTATCACTGCCCCCTCCAAGGAGGCATAGCAAGTTTGGAGCATTTAAAATTGTCTTTAAAATGACTGTTCTGTTTAAATGTCAACTATAACAGAGCTGGTGTGCTGTTGTGATACTGTAAACAATTAATCATCAGCACCAGCTTTGCTGTAGCCAGATATCCAGGAGAAACTAAACCAGGAGCATAGAAGGTGCTATGAGAGGTAACCTATGTATTTCCCACACTGATGGTCTCAGCTGTCCCAGAACAGCCCACAAAGATGAATTTAGCCTGAAGCAACAGCTCTGATAGGTGTTAACTGCTTCACTCATTTCAGTGGCTACTCCAACCCATAGCAAAGCCTCAGAAGCGCAGACCAGGGACACCGGGAGCGAAGCCGCAGCCACGGTGGGGTCCCGCGCCTCTGAGGTTTTGCTCTGGCTCATGTAAGATCTCCTGTCATACTTTTTATCTTTCCTATGCAGTGGAATAGTTTGCTTTTGGGCCCTTATTAATATCCCTTTAAAAAAACTGCTAATTGGGAATGTGTTACTGCTTCTGAGCTGGAGGAGGCCTTGCCTTCGTACTGCTTTGTGTTGGCTGCAGGGACATATCTTTATTTCCACTTCTACTCAGTCATAGCAAGGCGCATCCTGTTCAGATGAAAGGACCAGGTAACCCTATCTCACATAAGTAGAACCCTACCAATTTCATGGCCATGAAAAATATGTCACGGACTGTAAATACTTCCCTGGGAAATCTGATGTCTCCTTGTTCCTAGGAGTATCCCATCAAAGGGGGCTTCCTAGCTCAGACTGGGCAATGGAGAGACAGGACTTGTCTATCTCCTGCATTAGCTGCTGGGGTAAGGAGAGACCAGACAGATCTACCTCTAGGTGCCCCCTCCTTGCTGCAGGATGATGTCTGGGACTGGGCAGCAGCCTGAGTTTTCTGCAGCTCTGGGTGGAGCAGGGGGTGCCAAGTTTTAAAGCAAGAGCTGGTCTCAATCTTCACTGTAGCAGAGCTGGCTCTCCACTGTAATTACTGAATGGATGCTGTGAACTAGGGTCTGCTTTAATGTTTGCTGCAAATAAGAGTTAAAAAATGAAATGCAGGAGTGGTACAGTGAATAATCCAGCAGTCAGAGTAAGACTTCCTTGGATGAAATTTCCTGCAGAGAACTTCACTCTACCTTCAATTGCTGGAAAAACACGACCCATTCTAGAGATGTAATTGGACACAACTTCAATATCAGAATCACCTAGATAAACAGAAGTTATACACTGATATTAGTCAAATTACTATTCACTTTACATAGCAACTGCTAAACTTTGTTTTCTTGATTCTCATTTTCAACTGTAGTCCCCCTTGGAGTAGGAATTGATTTCTATATTTTCATATTCAGGAGACCAGTTACTCATGACAAGTGGTTTTCAACCTGTGGACCCTGGAGGTTTGAAGACAGATTTCTAAAGAGTTTTGCACCTGCATTTGAAATGTTAGGGGTCTGAAAACGAAAAAAAGGTTGCAAATCACAGCTGATTACAAATGCATCTTCTACAGGGATGAACCGCTAGAATAGTTAAACTTTTCATAATGTTTGTTCCTAGAATTTCCAATGTTGGCAAAGGAAAGTATACAGGCAGTCCCCGGGTTACATACAAGATAGGGACTGTAGGTTTGTTCTTAAGTTGAATTTGTATGTAAGTCGGAACTGGTACATATTGTAGGGGAAACTCTAGCCAAACATTTTTTTTAGTTTTGGATAGCATAGGGAAAGGTTAACTCCCCTCTAATGTTTGTTTTGCTGTCTGTTCCCCTGTTCAGAAGATTTCACATCTATTTCTGTCCCTGTGACAAACTCAGGACTAACGGAGTAATCATCAAATACCAAACAGCTCTGCACCATGCTTTGAGCTAATAGCTTTATTTCCACACACCACCCAGGGTTCTAGGAGGAGGGTCCTTTTTTTGCTAACACAATGAGGCCAGCACTTTGTTTGTTTTGGTGGAGTCTTTGTTTGCCCAGGGAGCCCAGCATGTATAGGGGGAGGAGGGGCGGAGAGGCTGCTTTTGTCTGCTGTTCGGCAGCCTGTTGCTCAGGGGAGGGGGCAGCGGGCGTGGGGAGGCACTTTTCCTCTGCCCGGCAGCTCTGCAGGATCCCTGTCCCTGTGGCCAGCTGCTGCAGGCAGAGGCCAGTTGGAGCCGGCCGAAGAGGAGGAGGAGGTGGATTCTAGGACCCAGGTGAGCGAGCCCCGGGGACGCTGCTGC